GGAAAGCATCCTATCCACTGTACTCTCACTCTGGCACCAGCATATGTTGGCTTTTAATGATCTGTCCTTGAAACATTGGATGTTACTTCAATTAAAAAGCATGCAAAAATGGGAATTGTGACGGACTTTCCCCACTTCCTGCAGCTTTGCTTGAAGGAACACGTTTGTTTTCATTTCCTCCACTTCTCCCAGGCTCTAGAAATGCACAGCGAACAAGACAGGCAGGCAAGCGAGCTCCATCCCATCCTTGGCGGGAGGGGCAAGTTTATTCTTCAACTGGTGGAAGGAGGGCTCCAGAAAACGGTGGCGTCAGAAGCACCGGGAATCTCTCTGCTCACTTAGACAATTACAGTGGGAGAATCTGCCAGGTGCAACTTTTAATTTGTAAAACACAATAATCTGGATCTGACAATCCTGTGTGAAACTCCCGGCCAGCCACAGCAGAACGTACGTTCTTCTCAAACGGCAGGGCCAGTGCCAGGCCGAGCCTCCGGTAAACCGCAAATGAGGCTTCGTGAGATTTTAAATAGACGTTCAGGGACAGAAACTATGCAAATTATGTTTTCGCAGTGGGTAAAATTTGGAGTCAATATCGGAAGGAAAACTGGAAAATTCACTGCTTGGAGAAATTAAGCAACACTTGTACAGTTGCACTGACACACACTCCCCCCATTGTTCATCGATTTGCTCGAGCGGGCCCAGTAACGTCTCCATTGTGAGACTTGCTGTTACTGTGTTTGGCATATCGAATACGTCACGGGTAGCTTGCCAGGCTCTGCCACGCGGGCGGGATACTCTCAGTAGCTTGCCGGGCTCTACAAGAGGGGCGGAGGAATCGAACCCGTCTCGGCTAGGCTGGCCGCGCACAAGGCAAACCCCCTACCGCTGTGCTATCATTCCAGCAAGACTTTTTTTTTTCCAGATTTTTGGGTCACACTCGGCAATGCTCAGGGATTCCTCCTGGCTCTGCACTCAGGAATTACTCCTGGCAGTAGTCAGGGGGACCCTATGTGATGCTGGGAATCGAACCCGGGTCGGCCGCATGCAAGGCAAACGCCCTACGCGCTGTGCTGTCGCTCCAGGCCCAGCAACACATTTTTGACTAGAGAAATTAGAAAATGCTTAGAGATAAGTTTACAAAACACATACGCAAACTATTAAAACTTGTAGAGTGCCGTGAAGGGGGTATGAAGATCATAAACATTTGGGGGGTGGGGGCCACGCCCAGCGGTGCTCGGGGCAGTATTACTCCTGACACTCCGCACACAGTGATCACTCTGGGTGGTGCTCAGGGATTTCAGGGATGTCAGGTAGTCATAGGGGATGTCAGGGATCGAACCCGGGTCGGCTGTGTGCAAGGCAAGTGCCCTCCCCGCTCTAGAACGAATAAGGAAAAAATCCCGACTCTCACGTGCTTTGTTCCAGCAGGAAACACAAACGATAAATAAAAGAGGGGTGTGTGGGAGGGGGCAGGGCGGGGCCTGGGGGAGGGATCTGGAAGGAGAGGGCGGAGTAGCTGGGGGAGTGGGGGGGCCGGACAGGACACTCCAGGGTGAGGGGGCAGGGGAGGCAACGGCTGGACACAAGCAGCCTCGCGCCACGTTCTGTGGACCAAGCGCGTCCAGGCAGGGCAGAGGGCACTACCCAGAGTGCTCTGGGAATAGCAGGTATGTTCTAGAACAGCCAGGAGGGAGAGGAGTGGGAAGTCGAGGGAGGTCAGGGCTGCCAGGGGAGCCGACTCAAGCAGACGCTGCGGTCACTTGGCCCGTGGGAGGGGAGCCCACACCCGGCAATGTCGGCGGTGCTCGGGGATGACTCCAGGCTCTGTGCTCAGGGATCCCTCCTGGCGGTGCTCGGGAGACCCAATGGGATGCCGGGGATCAAACCCGGGTCAGCCACACGCAAGGTAAGTGCCCTCCCTGCTGGACTAGCGCTTGAGCCCCTGGCTCTCATCTGGAGTGAGGCAGGGGCGGTTGTAGCCTGGATGAGCCTGTCACCGTCATCAGCTGGTTTACGGGGACCAGGAAATGTGCGGGGAAGGAGGCCTCGAGCAGCCGGGTGAGGGCAGGTGTGTCAGGGCCGGGGAAAGGGCAGGTGAGAAACGGCCGGGCTCAGGGTGCACTGTGGGTGCCCGGCCAGAGAGCGCAACTGGACAGACGCAGGAAGGGGAGAAGCGGCAGCGGTCGGCAGGAGCAGTGGGCAGCGCTGCCTGGGGACGTCCATCACTGGGCAGCGTGATGTCCGTTCTGGTCCCAGAGAAACTGCAGCTTCCTGAAAACACCCGGCGACCCTGCACCTTCTCAAATCAGCAGAAAGAAAAGAAAGAAAATGACACTCCTGCCGGGTGTCATTTCCAAACTACGACCCAACTATGCAAGTGCCGAAGGGCCAAGTAGGGTGCTGGCTCTTGGTATTTCTATTTCGAGGCACTTTCTTACTTACTAACCCTGATACCTTTTGTCTAAGGAGCAGCCTGGACATCAAGCCTTAAGAAACAGAAATACTGGAAAGACATATATAGGCTGGAGCGATAGCACAGCGGTAGGGCATTTGCCTTGCACGCAGCCGACATGGCCGACCCGAGTTCGATTCCTCCGCCCCTCTCGGAGAGCCCAGCAAGCTACTGAGAGTATCTCGCCCACACGGCAGAGCCTGGCAAGCTCCCTGTGACGTATTCGATATGCCAGACACAGTAACAACAAAGTCTCCGATGGAGACGTTACTGGGTCCGCTCGAGCAAATTGATGAACAACGGGAGGACAGTGATATATATATATATATATATATATATATATATATATATATATATAAACTTTGTTGAATCACTGTGAGATAGTTACAAGCTTTCATGTTTGGGTTACAATCACACAATGATCAAACACTCATCCCTCCACCAGTGTACATTCCCCACGACCAATATCCCCAGTATACCCCCGCTTTCCCACCCTTCCTCTGCCTCCATGGCAGACATGATTCCCCATAATCTCTCTCTACTTTTGGGCATTATGGTTTTCAGTACAGACCCTGAGAGGTTACCATGTTTGGTCCTTTATCCACTTTCTGCACACATCTCCCATCCCGACCGATTCCTCCAGCCATCTTTTTCTTAGCGATCCCTTCTCTATTCCAGCTGCCTTCTCCCCTTTGCTCATGAGACAAGCTTCCAGCTACGGAGCAATCTATCTGTCCAGTGTATCTACAGTCCTTAGGTGTCAGCTCATGTTATGTTGTTTTATACTCCACAAATGAATGCAGTCCTTCTATGTCTGTCCCTCTCGTTCTGACTCATTTCACTTAGTATGATACTCTCCAAGACATATACATTTTTTTAAAATGGGATTGGAACCGTGTTTCATGCCATTTACAAAAGTAGACTCACAGTGGATGAAAGTCCTTGAGATTAGACCATAATCCAAGAAATGCATCAAGGAAAACATAGGCAGGACTCCCCAGGAACTGGACCTCCCAGGGTGTTCAACGGCAGAGACAGCGAAATCAAAAGAAGCCATGGAGCCGCGTCGGTTAAAGGCTTCTTCACGCGGAAAGAAGCTCAAGCTGAAATAAGAAGACACCCTGCAGGGGCTGGAGCAATAGCACAGCGGGTAGGGCGTCTGCCTTGCACGCAGCCGACCCTGGTTCGATTCCCAGCATCCCATATGGTCCCCTGAGCACCGCCAGGAATAATTCCTGAGTGCAGAGCCAGGAGCAACCCCTGTGCATCGCCGGGTGTGACCCAAAAAGCAAAAAATAAATAAATAAATAAATAAAGTTAAAAAAAAAAAAAGAAGACACCCTGCAGAACGGGAGCAGAACATCCGCACACAAGACCTGAGAGGAAAGGCTGACATCCAGGATCCGTCAAGCATTCACAGAGCTCAACGTCAAGCAGTCCAACAACCCCATCCAAAAGAGCGGGACGGGGGCTGGAGCGATAGCACAGCGGGGAGGGCGTTTGCCTTGCACGCGGCCGACCTGGGTTCGATTCCCAGCATCCCATATGGTCCCCTGAGCACCGCCAGGGGTGATTCCTGAACACAGAGCCAGGAGTAACCCCTGTGCATTGCCGGGTGTGACCCGAAAAGCAAAAGAAAAAAAAAAAGGGAAGAGGAGGTGAACAGACACTTTCCCAGAGAAGACATGAAACTGGCTGGAAGGCTCCTGAGAAGGCGTCATCGTCACTGGGGTTAGGGAAATGCAGATCAAAGCAGAGCTGAGGTAGCCTCTCACGCCAGGAGAATGGCACACGGCAAAACGTGTGCAAACCGCCGTTGCAGGCGGCGTCGTGGAGAGGAAGGACCCTCACCCACTGTTCGTGGGAAGGCCGTCGGCTCAGCCTCCATGGGAAGCGACAAGGAGATCGCTCAGGAAAAAATGGGAATAGAATAGAATTCCTGGGGCTGGAGCGATAGCACAGCAGGTCGGGCTTTTGCCATGCACACGGCTGACCTGGGTTTGATTCCCAGCATCCCATAGGGTCCCCTGAGCACCGCTAGGAGGAATTCCTGAGAGCAGAGCCAGGAGGAACCCCTGAGCATCGCCGGGTGTGTCCCTAAAAATATATTCTTTAAAAAAAAAAAGAACAGAATTCCCACAGGGTCTGGCTTCTCGGCCTCTACCCCCCAAACACAGAAACACTAATTGGGAAGGGACTGTGTGTACCTGTGTGCAGCACAGCGCTCATGCATCAGCCAGGACATGGCACAGGCCGAATGTCCAACCACGGACGGGTGCACAAGGAGTCACGGCCACGTGCGGAACGGAACGTGATGCAGCGCCGGGAAAGACGAGCTCCACCTGCCTCTACTGACGGGGAGAAAAGGGTGTCAGGAAAGGGAACAGAACGATCCCCCTCGTCCGCGGGATTTAAAGACGCACAGTGCGGGACCGACAAGTCACCAAAGGCCACGAGGTGGAAGGGCGGCCCACACAGATGAGATTGTGGCGTGCGCAGGGGCGGGGCTGAGGGACCGGGTGGGAGGAAGTGGCCTCTGGCGTTATGAATGAATGATCCCAGACCCTCGGAACGATACTGTAACCGTTGCGAGTACGGTAACGATACTGTAACTGCCGCATGTCAGCAGAGACTTGGTCTTGGAGCTCTCCTGTGACACTAACCGAGAACAAGCCTGGGAGGCAGCCCCACCACCCCCCGTCAAATGCCCCCCCTCTCACCCCCCACCCAGCCACGGCCCGGACCCTTGTTCCCACGTCCCAACCTCACCTTCTCCCCGACTGCGATGTGTAAGACACATTTCCTGATCCGACACCAACAAGTCCAACAACCCCATTCAAAAGTGAGCAGACCCTTTCCAAAGGGAAAGAGGACGTATCCTCGCTGAGGAGACCTAGTCATCTAACGGGAGTTTAATAAATTTATTGAGGGATTGTAAATGAATTATTTAGTTATGATCTAAAAACGTGCCCTAAATGCCATTGGGACTTTTTTTTGGGGGGGGGAAACCTGATTGAACAGAATGTTAAAATTTGAATTTTTTTTTTCTCTGTCAGTTTGGTAAAGACTATCTCCGCGGAATAGGAGCTGGGGCTCAGGAAGGTTCTGAGAGAGCAGAGCCGCAGGGCCTGAGCTGCGCTGTCTCGGCGCCTGCTCTGGGGAACCCGGGCCGCGGGCCGTAGGCTACCGTGGGAAGCTCAGATGTAGGACCACGGACTGCTGTGGAGCAATGCAAAGTGAGGTGCTCCCTGCACTCCTCCCCACACACGCGCGCGCGCGCGCACACACACACACACACACACACACACACACACACACACACACACACGCGTGCTTCCGGGCCCATGCAGAGCTCTTGGCTGGCCTGACGTCCTTCTCTCTCCCCAGGACTGGCTGTGCTCACCATGAAGGCGGCAGCTCTGGAAACGCTCCTGGGTAAGTGCTTTTCTGTGCGCGTCTGCTGATGCGCTTAACATTCTCCTGCGAGCCCAAGAGCCCTCCCTCCCAGAAAACGGTGCCAGGCAGACAGATAAGCAGCGCGGGCTCCACCTGCAGTGCTCATTACGGAGGGCTGGGAAGCTGCTGGGGGACACACACGAGGGTTTCCGCTCTCTGTCACCTCTCTGTAGGAGAGCGTCCAGAAAGCAAATCTGAAAATTCTGAGTTAGGGGCCTCTCCATTTCTTCCTCCTAATTTCTTAATGTCTCAAAGAGTTTCTCATATGACCGACAGGCCACCAGTGATCATTTTAGAGATGAAGTTTGTTTCTTTTTTTTCCCTTCCTGGTTTTGGGGCCAGCCCTGCAGTGCTCAGGGCTCACTCTGGCTCTGCACTCAGGGTCACCCCGGGGGCTCGAGGGGCCATAGGGGGTACTGAGGATGGAACCCAGGTCAGTCACATGCCAGGCCAGTGCCCGCCTGCTGGACCATTGCCCCAGCCCTGGATGTGGAGTTTTTAAATGAATCTGTCAGCACCAACGACCCTGGGCACTGGGGGAATCTTATGGATGGACACGTGTGATCCTGTCTGGATATGTGTGTACATGTGTCTGTGCGTAGTAGACATGCATGTGTGTGCACTGACTGTCTAGTGTCCATGCGTGATTGTGTACGCACGCAGTGTGTCCGCATGTGTGTATTTGTGTGTAGAAGATCGGTGCGTATGGAAATGTCCGTGAGTCTATGTGTGCCTACGTTTATGCATTCCTATGTGTTTACATACGTGTGTGTGTCTGCATGTGTGCAAGAAAAGCAGCTCTGGGACTCCGTGCTGAGCTGCGTGTGGGGGAGGGTCTGGCCACCGTTGGAAGGGCGGGTGGGGAGAGGCCTCGTCCCCGCTCTGGGTGCTGGGGCCCCACTGAGCGGGTGGCCTTGGGGCTGCTCTGAGGACACCGGCTGAGGGGTCCTGGCAGAGGGACGATTGTGCCTGGGGTGAGGGACTTCTCCGTCCCGCCCCCGCCCAGGCCCCACACGCAGGGGCGGCCCCGGCCTGAGACTCCCACAGGGCAGGTTCATGCTAGCACCCTCGGGACACAGCCCTGCCCTGGGCGGAGGCCTCTCGGGGGCCGCTGGGGATGGGAAGAGCGGCCCTCAGGACAGGCAGGCCTGGCTCTCCACACTCACCCCTGCCCTCCCACACTCAGCCCCGCTCACGTTTCCCATGGCCAGGGATGCGGCTCAGTGCCAGAGTACTTGCCCCGGGTTCGATCCCCCAAGTAGGAAATAACCCCCCAAGCTCGCCTGGGCCCCTTCTCCTCGGCTGGGCCCCCTCCTCGGTGCTCCCCTGCTGCCTAGGTCAGGCCTCAGCTGGTTCAGAGCCGCGGGTCACCCAGCAGATGTTGCTGCTTCTTCCTTCAAAGCCTGGAGCCCATTTGAGCACTTTTTAAAATTTGCTCTTGTTTTGGGGCTCCACCACACAGTGCTCAGGGCTGACTTCTGGCCTTGAGCTCAGAGGTTCGTATGGGACCCCGGGAATCGCCCCTGGGTCAGTTTCACCCAAGCGCCCTACGCACCGGGCTGCCTCTCCGGCCCTCGATGCAAGAACTCTAAAATCCACTTAGGTCGTGGACAGGCATTTCCGTCCTGCTCAAAAACCGCCATCGACACGTCGACGCCAAACGTCTCCTCGTGAAGCTCCACATACCCTCATCACCCCCCCCCCAGCTCTGCCAGAAGGGGTTCTTGGGAAAGGGGTGAAGACCTGGGTGCTGAAGGTGTCCCCTACCGATGCGGGCGAGGGTGGGAAGAGACTGGCAAGGAAGGAGAGTGAGAGAGAGACAGAGACAGGGAGAGACAGAGACTGAGGCAGAGACAGAGACAGAGAGAGACAGAGAGACAAAGACTGAAGCAGAGACAGAGACAGAGAGACAGAGACAGAGGCAAGACAGAGACAGAGGCAGAGACAGAGACAGAGAGACAGAGACTGAGATAGAGGCAGAGATAGAGAGAGAGACAGAGAGACAAAGACTGAGGCAAAGGCAGAGATAGAGACAGAGACAGAGAGAGACAGAGAAACAAAGACTGAGGCAGAGACAGAGACAGAGAGACAGAGACTGAGACAGAGACTGAGGCAGAGACAGAGACAGAGAGAGACAGAGAGACAGAGATTGAGTCAGAGATAGAGACAGAGAGAGACAGAGACTGAGGCAGAGGCAGAGACAGAGACAGAGAGACAGAGGCAGAGACAGAGACAGAGAGACAGAGACTGAGGCAGAGACAGAGGCAGAGAGAGACAGAGAGACAGAGATTGAGTCAGAGATAGAGACAGAGAGAGGCAGAGGCAGAGATAGAGACAGAGACAGAGAGACAAAGACTGAAGCAGAGACAGAGACAGAGAGACAGAGACAGAGGCAAGACAGAGACAGAGAGACAGAGGCAGAGACAGAGACAGAGGCAAGACAGAGACAGAGAGACAGAGACTGAGGCAGAGGCAGAGGCAGAGACAGAGACAGAGAGACAAAGACTGAGGCAAAGACAGAGACAGAGAGACAGAGACTGAGGCAGAAACAGAGACAGAGAGACAGAGACTGAGGCAGAGACAGAGACAGAGAGACAGAGACTGAGACAGAGACAGAGGCAAGACAGAGACAGAGAGACAGAGACTGAGGCAGAGGCAGAGGCAGAGACAGAGACAGAGAGACAGAGAGACAAAGACTGAGGCAAAGACAGAGACAGAGAGACAGAGACTGAGGCAGAGACAGAGACAGAGAGACAGAGACTGAGACAGAGACTGAGGCAGAGACAGAGACAGAGAGACAGAGACTGAGGCAGAGGCAGAGGCAGAGACAGAGACAGAGAGAGACAGAGAGACAAAGACTGAGGCAAAGACAGAGACAGAGAGACAGAGACTGAGGCAGAGACAGAGACAGAGAGACAGAGACTGAGACAGAGACTGAGGCAGAGACAGAGACAGAGAGACAGAGACTGAGGCAGAGGCAGAGGCAGAGACAGAGACAGAGAGACAGAGAGACAAAGACTGAGGCAAAGACAGAGACAGAGAGACAGAGACTGAGGCAGAGACAGAGACAGAGAGACAGAGACTGAGACAGAGACTGAGGCAGAGACAGAGACAGAGAGACAGAGACTGAGGCAGAGGCAGAGGCAGAGACAGAGACAGAGAGAGACAGAGAGACAAAGACTGAGGCAAAGACAGAGACAGAGAGACAGAGACTGAGGCAGAGACAGAGACAGAGAGACAGAGACTGAGACAGAGACTGAGGCAGAGACAGAGACAGAGAGACAGAGACTGAGGCAGAGGCAGAGGCAGAGACAGAGGCAGAGACAGAGACAGAGAGACAGAGACTGAGGCAAAGACAGAGACAGAGAGACAGAGACTGAGGCAGAGACAGAGACAGAGAGACAGAGACTGAGACAGAGACTGAGGCAGAGACAGAGACAGAGAGACAGAGACTGAGGCAGAGGCAGAGGCAGAGACAGAGACAGAGAGAGACAGAGAGACAAAGACTGAGGCAAAGACAGAGACAGAGAGACAGAGACTGAGGCAGAGACAGAGACAGAGAGACAGAGACTGAGACAGAGACTGAGGCAGAGACAGAGACAGAGAGACAGAGACTGAGGCAGAGGCAGAGGCAGAGACAGAGGCAGAGACAGAGACAGAGAGACAGAGACTGAGGCAAAGACAGAGACAGAGAGACAGAGACTGAGGCAGAGACAGAGACAGAGAGACAGAGACTGAGACAGAGACTGAGGCAGACACAGAGACAGAGAGACAGAGACTGAGGCAGAGACAGAGGCAGAGACAGAGGCAGAGAGAGCTCGCCGGCCTGCGGAAGGAAACAAGCCGGCAGGGCCTGTGCTTTTCAACCTTCGGCAGCTGTGGATCAGCACTGGCCCGTGGCTCAGTGGGCCGAGGTACTTGACCAGAAGGGCCCTTGGTCCCACCCGCCAGACGGCGCCACGTCCGGATGAAGCCTCCGCTGGGTCAACGAGAACGTTCTGGCGCCGGGCCGTTGATCGTGCATTCTCGCCTTCTCTTTGCGTAGTCTTGCTGGTGACCGGAATCCATTCGAACAAGGAGACGCCCAAGAAGAGCAGAAGGCCCAAGTTCAGTGAGTAGCATCGCGCCCCGGCCCCCATGGGCACGTGTGCCCCCTGCGAGCTTTTCTGGGTCCACGGGTCCCCCTGGAAGCGTTTCTGTCTGTCCACACGTGTTAGGAGCAAGCCTTGCCCGTCCCCTGCTTTGAGTCAAAGAGCCTTCAAGATGCAGTCGCCTGTCGGGGTCCGAGTTAAAGCCAGACGAGTGTGTCAGGGCCCAGGGCGATGTTCGGCGAGCAGGGCGCTGCCTTGATGTTCCATCCCGGCACCCACAGTCCCCGGGCCCCGCCAGGGGCCATCCCACAGTGGGACCATCCCAGCCAGGAGGTCCGAGTGCTGCCAGCTAGCTAGACTGGACAGTTGGAAGTGCGGAGCCCACCTCTAGCACTGCTCGAACCCAGGGCTCCCCCCGCAGTGTGGGGGTGGGGGTCCATCTCCAAGGCCTCATGGCTGAAGGCCGATGGCTCCCGGCTAACCCTGGAACCCCACTCCTTCCCTCGCAGAGTTCCCGGCTGCCACTGGCTTCAGGGGTTGATGCCAGGCAAGGCCCAAACAGCTACTAGGCAGGGGCAGCGGGAGAGCCAGGTCTGGGCTAGACCCCCACATCCACTAGCTCTGCCCTTGCTGTGACAGGCTCAACATCGACAAGGAGGGAAGAAAAGGCCCCAGGCAGCGGGTGGTGCTCATGTCAGCGTTAGGACAGGCCAGCTGGGATAGCGGGACCGTGTATCAGGGCAGGCTTCCTGGTAGAGGTGACCTGTCTTCTTGGATGTTTGAAGGACGGAATAGGGAGGAGTGAGGCGAATGGGAGGAGAAAGTGGGCTCTATCCTTCTCAAGAAGCATGCCCAGGGCCTGAGGGGAGAGAAAAAGTGCGGAAAGGAGGGTCGTCAAGGTGCAAAAGACTGTGTCCCCAACAGGGGCGAAGGGGCCCCGCGAAAGCCGTCACAGGCCGGGCCTGGGTCCTCCACGAACATTCATCCCATGAGCCTGTGGGCATGGGCCTCGCCAGGCAGCCTCTGAGGCCCGAGAGAGGCCCGGGGTGAGGACACGTCACCAGAGACAGAACTCTGGGTGGCTGCCCAGCACCGTGGCCAGTCCCCTGCAGACCGCTGGGGTGACTGAGTGCAGGGCCGGGAGTCGCCTTGAACGTCACCGGGTGTGGCCCCTGAGCCGACACAAACAGAGGCTAAGTCTGGTCGGGGCGATGCACACAGAGCCAGGGCTCATGGCCACAGCAGACACAGCAGGGCAGGCCAGGAGATGTGACCTTCCTCCCGGGCACCGTGCGGCCTTCCTGGGCGAGGAACTGTTGCCCTGGGCTACTTGGGGCTCGCTGGGTCCCCGGAAGAGAGGGGGAGTGAGGAGCAGGCGCCCACTGCCCTGCCAGCCCAGGGCCTCCCCCGCACTGGAGACTCAGCTCTCTGGGGGCCGGGAAGGGCCACAGCAGCCGCAGAGCTGAGGGTCAGCTGGAAACGCCTCCAGGAGGCGACTTTGGGAGGCCAGGCGACCCTCCGAGTCACACGGGGTGGGGACGGCGAGCAGACGCCCAGGCCGGGATTCTGAGATTGTCCCCCCAAGCCCCAGCCCCTGTGCCGTCGCCACCCACAACTGCCCCCTCCAGACGTGGTGGCGGGGGGACCCAAGGAGCCAGCCCCCCTTTAAGGAGGGTCCCGGGGAGCCAGCCCCCCTCTTGGGCGGGTCCCAGGAAGCCAGCCCCCCTTCTAAGGAGGAAGCCGGCCCCCTCTGAGGAAGGTCCCAGCTGGGCCGAGCAGAGTGACCTCGGGTGTTGCCGGAACCATCACGAGTGACCCACGCCCGAGCCTCCAGGGCCTGTCCGGTTCCGCTTACCGTCTTACCCCTTTGAGAAGGTGTCGGGGAAAAGTTTTCCCCAATGTGCCCAGTCACGTTGCGCACCAGGTCCGAGCAGACGTGGCGCGAAGGATGATGGGCCGGCGGAGGGACCCCCTCCAGGAGCAGCTGCCGCTGTTCCCTTTGTTGCCAGATACACAGATGTTTCCTAGAAGGCCTCGGCTCACAGGAAGGTCCAGTCACAGAGAGCCCAGCCCCATGGGCCTCTCCCCTCTCCAACCCTGCCTTGCCCCGGTCCAATCCCCATCAAGGCTGGAGCTGCAGTGAGGGTCACCTGCTAAGTGTACGTGACCGTTTCTGTGTCCTGGGCTCACGTGACTAGGGGGTCGAGTGAGGCTCGAGGCCGGACACCCGGCGCTGGCTGGACCCCTGTTCTTGCCAACTCTGCCCAGATACTCCTCCTGTGAGGCTTCGCTTCTGGGCCGCCTTGCAGGTCGGTCTCATCTGCCCTAGTGCCTGTCACCGTGCTCCACATAAGAGTTTGGGCCCACCCATGTGCAGGTCTGGCACTGGGCCCTGAGGGGTCCCGTGTCCTTCCACTGGCCTCTCGCTGTCCCTGTGTGTATGTCCATGCTCTCGAGGCCCTGCCGCGCTGGCCCAGCTGGTGTGTGGCACCCGTGCCCCCCCCTCTGGGCACAGCTCCTGCTACCTCAGCCTTGCCTTGTCCCCGGCCCAGCGCCCGCGGGTGCTCCTCCTGCCACCTGTCAGGGTGCAAGCTTGGCCCGAAGCGGTGAGTTGCCTGGTCTGTGGCTCTTTCCGTGTCGGTATCCCTGACCCTCTCCCCAGGGTCCGGCTGGCACCCCCGGGTGGTGTTGGCAAGACTGACAGGCTGGCTGTCTTCGCTACTATTACCTGACTCCCCTCCCCGGCCCCGAACACCCCCGGCCTGGCCCCCTGCACCCCCGAGGATGTTTCTGGGCTGCCCAGAGGCAGTTCCCTCGGAGAAGTCCTCTTTCTGAGGACAGACGTGGGGGAGAGGCGGCAGGTGGGCGTACAGTGGTGCAGAACGGTCTTTTCCCTGGCATTGGAGTGGCAGCCCGGAGAGGCCGGGAAGGGTGAGAGAAAGCGCTACTATGCAGAGGGGAGGGCGCCCGCCTGGGACACGGCACCCCACAGGGTTCTCCAAGCCCACCAGGAGTGAGCCCTGAGCACGGGGGGGGGGGGGGTGGTGCCAAGGAAAACACCGCAAGGGAAACGCTGTTTCCTAACCCCCCCCCCCCACGACAACTGCGGTCCCCTGCAGCTCTGCTCTCTCCAGTTTCCTTCTTTATGCAAATGTGACAAACATCCGATGGACAGGCCGCCCCAGCACCCTCCTTCACGCGTCCCTGAGCCCAGGGCTGGGTTCATCCCTCCCCCCAACTTCGTGTCACTGAAGGTCCGGCTGCCCTGGGCCCAGCCAGTCGGGGGACCAGAGATACAGCAGGCAGAGGCTCTATGGGATGAGCCTCTAGTGGCCGAGAAACCAAGCGTGCCCGGTGCCCCGGGCCCTGAGCTTCCCCGCTGCCCGCACAGCGCACTGGCCCAGTGGGCGAGACACACCAAGAGATGGTGGAAGGACCAAGCCCGCCCCTTGGGTCCCAGGAAGCCCAGGATCTCGGGGTGGGGGGCCAACGTCGCCCCCGCTGAAGCCCAGGTCCGAGTCCGGTTCTGCTTCAGACCACGCTGGTGTGAGGCGGGGTGGCGGGGGAGGGGCGTCCATCAGGGCCGGGGCGGCCAGCAGGAGGGAGGAGCAGCCAGTGGAGCGGGCGCACCCCAAGACCAAGCCGGTCCCTGATTTCGGGGAGCCCACGTGGCACCCTCAGCCCCCAAAATGCCTCAAGAGCCTCTGACGCGGGCTCAGAGCAGCCTTGAGGGTCAGGACGGAAAAGAGGGAAAAGAAAAGAACTGAGGGCCGAGGGCTGCCGTGGGGGCCCGGAACCCCGAGTCACGCCAGCTCCCCGGGAACGACCCTCACCAGCCCCCCGCCACGCGCCCCACCCCCGAGCGCAGAGACAGGCATGGGGGGGAGGAAACGACTGGTGTGCCCCCCCTTGGCTCGCTGGTGGGTGAGCGCGGGTTCGAGAGGCCGGCGCAGCTGGAAGGCATTAGCCGTGGACACCGGCCTGGGGGACGGCTGGCCTGGGGCCACCCCGGGTGTGATCAGAGGCTCTGAGCATGGCGGCCACCCACCGCCCGGCCCCAGAGGGGCCCTTTCGTGAGGCAGGCCCTCACCCACACCCCTGCTGCCGTCCTTCCCGCCATGCCCGCTCCTAGAAGGTTCTCTGCAGGACTCGGCTCCCGGAAGCTGCCCTCTGCCTGAGGTCTCCCGAGCCCGCCCAGGCTGAGCCGCCACAGGTCTCGTCTCTGCACCTCAGGGGACGCGCGTTTCAGCCCAGCGAGGCCCCAGCAGGGTCCCCAGGAGCTTGGTCTCCTGCCCGCCTCGGCCAGGGCCTCTGGGCCCAGCGCTGCCCCAGCTGGGAGGGGCTACGGGCGTCGGCTCCAGAGAGGACCCACCCAGGCAGCCCCCATCCGCCTGGGAACCAGGGACAGGGACAGGGCACCCTCCTGTCAGGAGGAGGGAGGAGGGAGGAGGGAGTCTCCCTTGGCTATCACACCCGGCCCTGAGCACTCTTGGGGAGCCAGCAGGGCAGGTTCACATGGATCTCCCCAACCCAAACTCAGGACACAGTGCTCCCACAGACACGCCCCACAGACCCATAGACACACAGACACACACACAACAGACACACAGACACACAAACACACCCATAGACACAGATACACACCTACAGACACTCACCCCTACAGACACATAGACACACACACAGACACACACCTACAGACACAGAGACATACACACACATAGACACACAGACATACACAGACACACAGACACACAGACACACACACATCCACACTCCCACAGACACACAGACACACACTCAGACCCGCCACATGCCGGGTGCCCGTGTGCCTGCAGCCCTCTCTGGCAGTGCCATTCCCCACCCCCTGTGGCGGGCAGCACCTCCTGTGTGGTCACTGCAGCTCTCAGCCCGGTCCAGGGGTCCGGGCGGCTGTGGGGTCCCTGCAGCCCCTTCCCAGTGGTGGCCCGAGGCTGGCGCGACACTCCGGTGTGGGACGCTGAGACGCGAGACGTGACAGGGCCGAGGCTCCTCTGCTCGTGCTCCCGACCGCGCGGGCGTTGGGCGAACCCGGGCTGGCTGCCTCCCCAGTCCCAGGGCTGCGGCCCCCAAGGTGTCAGCCGGACCCCACTTTGCCTTCCAGCCGCGCCCCAGATCGGCTGCGACGTCACGGCGGGGGAGATCCTGGACCCTGAGTTCGTGGTGAGGTGCCCGGCGGGCTGCGGAGACCCCGGATACCCGGTGCGGGGTCTTGGCCCCTACACGGCCCGCTCCAGTGTGTGCGCGGCTGCTGTCCACAGGTGGGTCGGGGCTGGGCGCGGGGGATCGCCCCTGCAGAGCTGTGTGTGGGGCTCCCAGCGGGGGCACCAGGCAGGAGCGGGGGAGGGGTTCCAGGCCAGAGCAGGGAGGGCGCCCGGGCCCTCGGGGGACGCCTCCATGCCCTCCCGCTCGTCCCCCGGGGTCAGCATCTCGGGGATATGGGCCCACCGTGGAGATGGGTGGCAGGAGACGCCCACCCTGTGTGATGGGCACAGACCTCACCGCCCCTCCCGACCCCTCCCAGCCCAACGCCCCTCCCCTCCAGAGGTGGAGGGGGCAGAAATCCCGGCGTCAGACCACAGTTCCAGAAACCGCAGTCTTGCCGCGGCCTAGGCAAGGGGGCTCCCCTGTGGGGCGGACGTGTCTGCAGCCACACCCTGCCAGATTCGCACCCGTCCTTGGCAGGAGCTGGAGCCCAGCGGTCTGTCGCCCCCAGTGGAGGTGGCCAGGTGGGAGGTTTCACTGTGGAGGCTCGGATGGTTCCGGCATAGGCTCCGGCTTTGGGTGCAGCTGACCAGGGCCTTCATGGCACCGCGGATGGTCCCCACCACCTCCAGGAGTAAGCGCCAAGCACAGACACGGGAGTGAGCCCCGAGCACTGCAGGGGAGTGGGACTGAGCATGCCGAGGGAAGGAAGCAAGAGGCAGGAGCTGAGGCCGAGTTCCGGCCCCTGACGGCCGTGAGGAGCGCCGGGATGGCCCGTGACTCAGCGCCAGGGCCCTGGGAGGGGGAGGCTGAGGCCAGCACCCACTCATCGCATCAACAGCATCTCCTCGCCTCCCCTCAAAGCGCAGACCCGGGGGAGAGGGGGTCAGAGCCACAGCCCGCAGGGCGCTGGGCTTACACGTAGCCCAGCCGGGGAGGATCCCCGGAGCCCGCCGGGAATAATCCCAGAGCACAGAGCCAGGAGTCAGCCCTGAGCACCATCAGGACTGCCCCAAAGAGCAAAAGAACAAAACACAAAAAGCTGAATTTGTATCAGCATGGTCTTTTTTTTTTTCTTTCTGGGTCACACCCGGCGATGTTCAGAGGTTCCTCCTGGTTCTGCACTCAGGAATTACTCCTGGCGGTGCTCGGGGGACCCTATGGGATGCTGGGAATCGAACCCGGATTGGCTGTGGGCAAGGCAAACACCTCCCCACTGGATCATCACTCCAGTCCCCAAAAGCCGAATTTGGAGATGAGGAGTTGAGGCCACCCCTGTCAGTGCTGGGGGGTTACTCCCAGTTTTGTGCTCAGGGGACCATGCAAACCCAGGGCTCAAACCCGGGTAACCCACAAGTGAGGGCCCTGGTGCCATCTGCCTGCACCTCACCAAGACGCTCTCTCTCTCTCTCTCTCCCGGTAGCGGCGTGCTCCCTCGCTCGGGAGGGAGGGTTCTTGTCCGGAAAGTGCCCGGGGAGTCGGACTCTGAAGGCGGCTACTCCAGCGGGGTCCAGGCGCTTTCCCTGCCGCACCAGGAGGGACTCTTCACTGTCGCAGGTGAGCCCGGGGACAGGCCAGCGGCTGGGGGCAAGAGCGTCTGCGCCTCTGGCAATTAGGGTCCCGCACCAGGAGCTTCTTCGATCAAGGCGGAAACCCGATGCAGAGCTAGGAAACAGCGCTCACCTCAGACGCAGCCCAGTGCAACCGCAGCCTTACTGCAGCCACGGGTGCGGGTGCCCCTCCAGGGCGGGGCCGCTCCAGACGTGGGCTGGGAGCGGGGCAGGGGGACAGGGCTGTGGGGTCCTTCTGAGCTTCGTGCCTTTCTTTGGCTGGTCTTTGCTTTGCTTTTCTTCCTTGGCGGAAGCTCCCCCAGCCTGTGCTCACCAGCCATCCTGGGTCAGCCTGGTGAGCCGGCAGGGTTCGAGGCGAAGGCTTCTAGAGGTGTCTCCTCTGGGCCTGAGGCCTTACCCCAGCGATGCACAGGGACCCAGAGGTCCCGCCGGGTGGGGATTGTGTCCAGTCATCAGAAAACATTCCAACATCTCCTCCTCCTCCTGGCCTTCCTCCTTCTCCTCCTCCTCCTCTTTTTCCTCGTCATCCTCCTCCTCCCCCTCCTCCTCCCCCTCCCCCTCCTCCTCCCCCTCCTCCCTCTTCTCCACCCTCGCCCAGCTCACCCGTTGCACTCGCCCTTGTTGTGTCTGTTCCAACAACTTTGACCTAGCAACGCTTCGTTTTGAGTCGTGAAGGGTGAAGTCCCACCCCGCTGCCAGGGCCGTGTCCCCCGTCACAGCCTCACGCACCTCCGTGGCCCCTGATGGGTCCGGCTTCATCGCTTTGGGCAGCCTCGGCCGAGCCGTCGGCTGACGCCAAACAGCCGGGGACAGAGGGGCTGGGACGATCTCACACAGTATCGTGGATTCTCTGGGGGTTTTCTTGGGTTTGGGCTTTTTTGGGGTTTTTTTTTGTGGTTTTGTTTTGGTTTTTGGGTCACACCTGGCGGTGCCCAGGGGTGACTCCTGGCTCTGCGCTCAGGAATTCCTCCTGGCGGGGCTCAGGGGACCATCTGGGATGCCATGGGGACAGCGTTGGAGTCTGCAGCAAATTCCACCCATGGTTTAGGCCCCCGTGCGTGACCCTGTGTCATGATGACCGGCGTCACCACGAATTAACACCGTGTCGTTTCTCCGGTATGTCAGCTCGTCCCTCCCCCTGCTCCCACCCTCTCCTTCCTAAGCCCCTCAGTGGAGAGACCCCGAGGGCTGAGCCTCGGACTCTTTTGTGGTTCGCTGTAGATATTGGACAGCAGCTGAGACACTCACAACCTCCCTCCCCTCCCCCACCCCTGCAAGGGTTGTGTTTTGTGGGGGTGGGCTGTGGGGGGGAGGGTGTCATACTCAGCCGGGGGCTGGCGCCAGGGGTCAGACTCAGGACCTGCAAGTAAGGGCTCTAACCACTGTGCTTCCCGCGGTCTCAGGGACATTTGGGTTTTCTGTGCGCTCTGGGCATCAAGAGACCCCTTCACGGAGTAAGAGTTTATTGAGCACCTACCACATGCTAGACTCTGCCCCAGCAGTGTCCTCCCTCCAGCCACCAGGGGCACCTGTGTCCTCCAGCCACTCTTCTGGGGGCAGGCGGCTATCTTGTGTGGTCAACCGGCCAGGGGACTGGAAAGAAAGGACGAGGGCCACGGTGCTAGTTCAGGACACTGCCAAGGTGGTCTAGTGATCCCCAGCACCGCCAGGCCCCAACGGCACTGCCCTGACCACGTGGGCCCTGCCCACCCCACATCCCGGCTGACTGGGAGAGGCGGGAGGCCCTGGGCAGCCCTGAGCACAGCCCCCTTCAGAAGTTTCCACTAAACACCTTCCTCTCCCCTCCTCTGCCCCCCGGGGCCACTCAGCGCTGGGGTCTGCGGTTCCCACCCTGCGGCTCTCATGCCGGGATTCGCCGGACCCCGGGGCCTGGGACGGGCCTCACCAGGCTCCACGGCGGGGACTGAGCCGAGGACGCGGCCGCCTGTGCCCTCTGCCGTGTGCCGCCTCGGACCTGGCTGAGCGAGGCTCCCTCCTTGCTATGGCCCCCGGGCACGGGGCGCACCAAGGCCAGAGGCCACTCGCTCCTGTCAGGGGTCCTGCCCTCAGGACACAGGGTGGATGTGGGGGGTGGGGGGGGCACCATAGCCAGCAGGTCCGAGGGAACGTCCAGCTCTGGGAGGAAAGAAACCGTTTTCTCCTCAGGGGCCGGAGCGACAGCAGAGGGAGGGCGTTTGCCTGGCACGTGGCTGACACGGGTTCCATCCCCAGCACCCCATGTGGACCCCTGAGCCCCGGCAGGACTGAGCACCTAACTGCGAGTCCACCCTGACAATCACTGAGGGTGGCCCCAACACAGAAGCAAGCTAAATCATTTCTTCCCTCCCTCTCTCTCCCTCTCTCTAACCCTTCCTCTCTATCCCTCTCTCTCTGTCTCTCTCTCTCTCTTCCCCCCTCCTCTCTCGCAGAAGGTAAACCCCGAGAAGGTGTGGCCTACCCCTCGTCTCTGACGTTCTCTTCATCTGCGTCTGACCATGCAGGTAGGTGCCCTCCTCAGGGACTCCTGGCTCAGAAACACTCTCCTGTTGGGAGAAGACATGGGAACCGCCCGCCCTGCACTGCCGACTCCAGGACGGCTTCCCGGATTTCAGACCGTGGTCCCGAGACCAGTCCAACAGGAGGGGCCGAAGAGGGAGGTTTCCCCTTAGTCTGCAGGGGGTGGGGTTGTTCTTAGAGTGCCGCTCTGACAGCATCCGTTTCTTTCTTTGTTTAGCTTTGAGGACACAGCAGTGATACCCAGGGCTTAGCTCACTCCCAGCAGTGCTCGGGGATCACATGGGATGCCGGGAATCGAACCCAGGCCGGCTGCGTTCAAGGCCAGCACCCTCCCCAATGCACCTCAGCCCCTCTTGGGGCATTTCTGGGTGAAGCAAGGGTGTGTCCTCGTGGGAGGACTCCTCCCCCCTCCATCTGCTCCTCCTCCCTGCACCACTTCCAGGAGCCTGTGGCCTGGATGCCTGGACGCTGCCTCCAGGGAGGCATCAGGATTTAACACACACAAGGCCAGGGCATGTCTGGGCGCATGAGGCTCTGGACCCCATCCCTGGCTGTCCTCCCAACGCTGCCCACCCCCCAAAAAAGCACAGGGGATGGGGAGGAGAGATAGTACACTGGGGGGGCACTTGCCTTGCACACAAGGTTCGATCCCAGCACTGCAGAGGGCAGAACCCCCCCCCCCCATAAAACAGCACAGAGGAGGCGGGGGGGAAGGTGGACCATGGGCGTTGGAGGGGCTGGAGATGGGAGGGTCTGGATGCAGGAGGGGAGGCCGGGGTCAAGAGCCCCCCTGTGGCCTGTCCCACCCGCGGGGACACGCACGGCTGTGAGCTCCGTGCCCTCCAGTCTCCCGCAGGTCCCTGGGGGCCAGCTCGTGTCCCCTTCTGGAACTGACGTCCACCCCGGTGCTGCGTGTGCTGACCAGGCCTCAGGCAGAGCGGAGGCCAGAGCTGGGCCCCAGGTCACAGCCAGGGAAGTCCCACGATCTGGCGGCTAGAGGTCCCACACAGGGGCCCACGGGAGCCCGGCCACCTGCTGTCGGCCCACGGACGCCTCCTGGCCCCGCGGCCATCCCTGGTGGCCAGTCTGTTCCAGGGCGTTTGCTGTGTTTTGTCCCCCGGGACTCGAGGGCGCTGCCTCACATGCTTTCCTTCCAGGGGAGACCATGAGAAGCCCCCAGAAGCCGGTCCCAGGGGCAACGGCTCCACCAGCCACCCTGACGCAGGTTCCGGGGTCCCCAGCGGCGGCAGCCACAAACAGCCCCCGGCCACCGGCACCCGCAGGACTAAGGAGCCCAGCGCGGGGTGAGTGGGGTGGGGTGAGCACTGCGTGGGGGAGACTGGGGGAGAAACTGCCCCGTGTGAGCCCCCCAGGGAGGCCTGGAGTATGACGCACCCCCACAATCATAATCGTGACCCGGCATATGGGGAACCCCACATCCACGCCAATTCCCCAGTATCTGCCAACGGCACGGCCGGGAAGGTCAGACTGAGGCCAACCCGGGGTTGCCCCGTTGCCAAGTCACCAGGTCTGGGGACGGGGTTTCCCTGGTCAAGTGTCCAGTCTGATGCAACTGACAAGCCAGGTAGCGCAGCGAGGGTCCCAGTCCCGAGAGGCCCCAGAAGACTCTGACACGCCCTAACTGATTGTTGTCAGCTCACAGCCGATGGACCCTCAGCCCGGCACAGGCTCGGGCAGAGTGGGGGCTTCACCCCGGCTCCAGCGTTGTCCCGGCTCCCCCAGACCCCAGATCTCTCGCACTGGCCTGGCCCCGCAGACTCTCGTTCCTTTCTCCCACCGCTGATCATGCAGCCACATCGCCGATTGTGTGGTTGGGACTCGAGTATTCGTGGTAGTCTGGAAGTTGCAGTGACACACGAGGCTGCTCACCCACGCCCTCGAAGGGCCCCCACTGCCCCGCTTGTCTCTTCTCTTCTGATCCTTTTCCTTTTTTTTTTTTTTTTTTGCTTTTTGGGGCTGGAGCAGTAGGGCACTTACCTTGCACGCAGCCAGCCCAGCCGAGCCAGGTTCGATTCCTCCGCCCCTCTCGGAGAGCCCGGCAAGCTACCGAGAGGATCTCGCCCATGCGGCAAAGCCTGGCAAGCTCCCCGTGGCATCTTCAAGATGCCAAACACAGTAGCAACAAGTCTCACGATGGAGACGTTACTAGTGCCCACTTGTGCAAATCGATGAACAATGGGAGGACGGTGCTACAGTGCTTTTTGGGTCCCACCTGGCGATGCTCAGGGGTTACTCCTGGCTCTGCACTCAGGAATCCCTCCTGGCGGTGCTCGGGGGACCCTATGGGATGCTGGGAATCGAACCTGGGTCAGCTGCGTGCAAGGCAAACGCCCTCCCCGCTGTGCTGTCGCTCCAGCCCCTGTCTGATCTGCTTCCCACCCCCCACCCCCCGTTCCCCCCAGCCCCGTTCCTTCCCTGTTTGCTCATGGCTCTGTCTCCCGTGCCGGGGGCCATCGTGGCTCTGCGTGGGTTCCCCGAAGTCATTTAGAGATTTCACCTCAAACCACATTCAACACCCTGGGCTTCCATTCAATGGGTTGGCAGAGAAGCTGGTGCCTGCCCGTGACCTCTGACCCTCGGCCTGGCATTTCTCTTTCCAGAACAAAACCCCTTTCCCTCTTTTCTCCTGAGGAACTGCCCAGGGTCTCCTGAGCCCCATGGCAGCCGAGAATCGGAGGCGCCCTGTACGGGCTGGCGCCTGGGCCCCATGTCGGTGATGCAGTCTCTGTCTAAGCAGCAGCTCTGGGGACAGACGCGGTCAGTCCCCTCCTCAGAAGCGGCCCCGTGGGAGAGAACGAGAGGGAGGACACTGAGGCACTGAGAAATGCGGCGCATAAAGGGGCCATTATTCCCGCATTTTCCACAGGGGGTTTGCACCACCCCCCGCCCTTTTTCCATTCCACTGCGGGCTCCAGGGCGAGTTCAGACGCCCCGGGGGGGGGGGGGGGGGGGGAATTGGCCCTTGCTGCTACCTGGCCAACACCTGGCTGGCTGGAACGCGGGCAGCGGGTCGGGCTGGGCCACGGCACACGCTCTAACAGGCCGGTGCTGAGCCTGTGCCCCCCGCCCCCACACCTCCCGGACTCACCCCTGCAGCCCAGGGGGAGATGCGGCTTGCTTCGGTGAGGGGTAGGAGTGGGAGGCTGAACCCTCGCCAGGGGATTTCGATTTGGACGGTCTCACCCGTTCTGCCCAGCACACAAGCCTGCCCCGGCGTGCAGCGTGGAGGGTCCACGCAGGACGGAAGCTGGGATCAAAGAAGCGAGCCTCCCCCTTCCCGTCCCCCCCAGCCGTCCCCAAGGCAACTGGGAGATGTGAGATAGAAAGGCCCGAGGACTCGGTAGCTCGGACCTTCTGCAGCTGCAGAGTTAAGGCCACTCTCTGGCTGGGCCGGAGGACGCGGGAGTGAGGGGTCAGCGTCCAGCGGGGCGGATTTCCCCAGGCACACATGGCGTGGGCAGTGCAGCGTAGAGACCTGCGTGACAGCGCTGTCGGGGACTGGGGGGTGGGGAAGCCACCCCCACTCCCCCACAGCCCTTCCTGCAGGGACACCCGGTCATCCCAGGCCCCGCAGGCCCAAGGGGCCCCTCCGGGCACCAGGTGTGGGGTGAAGACCCCCTCGTCCCCTTGCCAAAACTTCGGCCCCTTCGGGAGCTCCCAGAGGTGAACTCCCCGCTGAGGGCCAGGCTGGCTTCCAGGGAAAGTCTGAGCCAGGGGCGCTTTCTCCAGGGGGCCAGTGAAGTCCCTGGGGGGCTCCATGCCGACCCCCAGGCCCGGCAGAACCGCCCACCCGTCCCCACTGGTGCCGAAAGGCAGACGCTTCCAGAAGCCCACAGGGCCGTGTCCGCCGGAGAGCTGCCTGCCCCGTCCACGCTCTGCGTGTCCCCCACCCCCACTGACCCCGCCGCCAGCTCCAGCTCCTGAGTTCGGGGGCACAGCGCGTCTTTTGAGCCCCGAGAGAAAGCCGCGTCCCTTTGCCTGTGCTCGGCATCAGAGAGAACCGGAGCCCAGGACAGACCCGGGTTCAGGGGCGGGGGGTGCCACTAGCCCCCACCCCTCTGGGCACAGAGCAGGGCCCCTCTCGCAGCCTCTGCGGGGTGGGCAGCCCCTCCCCCCAGTAGCAAAGCAAGGGGAAAAGTGCGTCAGCTGAGTTTGGCCTAAAAATGCCAAATTTATTCCCTGAGTCCCGCAAGAGGCTGGTAACCCCGACGGCCACACCCAGCAGACAGCCCGATGTTTCGCTGTTAGAACTCTCTAGAACATGAGCCCAGCGACCTGGGGTCCCGGCCTTTCTACGCAAGTGGTTTCCTTGGGCTATTTGGATTGTGGGCTGGAGCAACAGCACAGCAGGAAGGGCATTTGCCTGGTAAGCAGCCGACCCGAGTTCGGTTCCTCTGCCCCTCTCAGAGAGCCCGGCGAGCTGCCGAGAGGATCCCGCCCACACGGCAAAGCCTGGCAAGCTCCCCGTGGCGTATTCGATATGCCAGACACAGTAACAACTGAGTCTCACAGTGGAGACGTTACTGGTGCCCACTCGAGCAAATCGATGATCAACGGGAGGACAGTGCTGCAGTGCTATTGTGATTGTAGTTCCTTTTTTTTGTCTTTGCATTTTCCTGTTGGCATCTGAGCCACATCCAGCGGCGAGAGGCCACACAGTCAGCCGTGAGCGAGCCAAGTTCCACCCACCACACCCCCTGACTCGTATTTTTCTGGGGGGCACGTCCGACTGTGCTCAGGGCTTCCTCCTGGCTCTGCGCTCAGGCATCTCTCCACTCCTGGCAGGCTCGGGGGACCCTGTGTCAGGCTGGGTGCTGTGCCGTGTGGTACTCGCAGGGCCCTGCCCACTGCAGTCTCTCTCTGGCACTCAAATGCCATAAGCCTCAGCCTGCTGGGCTCCTGCCTTCGGGGGTCCCTGAGGCCTCCCCGCTTGGTGAACTCAGCCGAGCACGGCCAGATTCCCTTCATCTCCCTCCCAAAAAGGGACGTCTTGTCTCCGAAGATCGGCCGAGTAAACTGACAGCCTTTGACAGCCAGAAATTCATGTTTTCGGCAAAAATATGGGTCTGGGGCCAAAGAGATTGTGCAGTGTTGGCAGGGCCGAGGAAGAGGCTCGTAAACCCAGGGTCCCGGAACCTTCTGCTTCTGCACAAAGGGTCTGGTCTTCAACAGATAGGGTGCTGCAGCCTGGCCGGCCCAGCCTGTCCCCACAAAGGTTCATTTCCAGAAAAAGGCTAAGCATGCGCTTTCTACCAGCAGGTGGCAATAGAGTCACTGTCACTGTTACATTGTAACAGGCCCAGTAACATTGTGAGACTAGTTACTGTGTTTGGCATATCCGACGTCAAGGGAAGCTTGCCAGGTTTTGCCGTGCAGGAAAGATACTCTCAGTAGCTTGCCGGGCTCTCAGAGAGGGGCGGAGGAATCGAACCCGGCTCAGCCGAGCTGGCTGCGCCCAAGGCAAACGCCCTGCTGCTGTGCTAGCGCTCCAGCCCGGAAAAAGAATAGTAAAATTAAAGGAGCAGAGGCTCCACCGTAACTCAGTGATGTTGACCTGGCAGCTCTCTGAGCTGGGCTGGCTCACTCTGCTAACTCCCCAGGACAGAGGGACCCACAGAAAGATGCTTCAATGTCTCCGAGGCCACACAGCCAGTTAATGGCTGAGCTGAAGTAAACTCAGCTCTCCCCAATTAAAGCAAAAGGTACCAGGGTACAGGCAGACTTTCCAAACAGCCTGGCATCCTTGTCCTGTGGAGGAAAACATCATTTCCTGCATGCAGGAAGCGGAGGGCTGCAAGTCATGAAAGAGGTCATTATGCCCTGGGCTCTCAGCCTCCTGAGCTGGGAGAGCGGGAGAGAGAAGGGGAGGAAGACAGGTGTGTTGACGCCGCTGATGATTCCTGATACATTTGTGTGGTCCCCCCAGACACACCCCTCCAGGCAGCAGGGGCTACTGGGCGAGAATCTCCCCCTCCGTGTTATCAGAGCCCGTGTGGAGAAAGACACGGGACATTTACTGATTCTAGAGTCCAGGTGCCACGCCGCTTTACTCTGTGGGGACTGACTTAGAGCAGAGCCCCGGAAAGGTCGGGGATGCGGCTCCTGAGCAGAAGAGCCCGTGTTTGCTCAGTGTGGTCCCAAACGGTTGAGTGACACAGTGCACCCAGAATGATACTGGGCACTTTGGGAGTGCATAATATGGAGAGGTGGGTGGGCGGGTGGATGGATAAATGAACAGATGGATGGACGAATGGATGGAGGACAGGTGGGTAGATGGGTGGATGGATGAATGGATGGTTGGATGGATGGATAGATGGATGGATGGATGGTTGATGGATGGATGGGTGTGTGGGTGAATGGATAGTTGGATAGGTGAGTGGATGGGTGGATGGAAGGATGGATAGATAGTTGTTTGGATGGATGGATGGATGGATGGATGGATGGTTGATGGATGGATGGGTGGGTGGATGGATGAATAGATGGTTGGATGGATGAATGGATAGATGAATGGATGGGTGGGTGGATGGATGGATGGATGGGTGGGTGACTGGATAGGTGGATGGGTGGGTGGGTGGATGGATGGATGAATAGATTGTTGGACGGATGGATGGATGGATGGATGGACAGGTAGATGAATGGATGGGCGGGTGGATGGATGGATGGATGGATGGATGAGTGGGTGGGTGGGTGGACAGATGGTTGGATGGATGGTTGATGGATAGATGAGTGGATGAATGGATAGATGGATAGAGGGATAGGTGGATGGGGGATGGATGGATAGATGTATGGGTGTGTGAGTGGATGAATGGATGGATGGATGGGTGGATTATGGGTAAATGAATAAAGATTTCAGATAGATATAAAGAAAAGTGTCCCACTGTCTCAATAGGGCAAGGGGTACTCCACCTGGATGGCTGTGAATGCTTGTGTCTGGGGTATTCCCCAATTCCTGGTTGAAGAGATTCTGCTCATTTCGTCTAAGTAGCAAATGTGCTTTTTAATTTTGGAAATCAGGGGACACGGATGCACAGAAGCCTGGCTCGGTCCTTTTGGATGCAGGTAAGTCTATGACTTCCATGACACGACCTCCCTGCCCTACGGCATCCGAATGACAGGATCACACCGCTAGCGAGTCCTGATCTCTGGGGACAGACGCAGCTTCCCTGTAGCGCCCTGAGAGCTGCCCCCTGGACGGGTGTGGTGACGTGTAGGGGGCACACGGACCTCCCTAGGGAGAGCGGGGTGAGAAACAACATCGCGGCAAAGACCGGGAAACCGTGAAGACAGAGGCCAGAGCAGGGTGTGTGCCCGCCCAGCTGGGTTGGAGCCTGCTTCCATCTGGCCGAGAACCCTCCACCCTGCTTCCTGCCCAGGCCCCACGAAGGCTTCCTTTCACATGACGAAGGTTGGCGGCTACAGTTTTGTTGGGAAGTCATGGCCAAGGTGGTCTGGGGCTTTCGTCCTTTTGCGAGAAGCAGCCCTCACTGAGAGGTCAGCAGGGTGGGTGGGGTGGGGTTGGCTCCTCTGACGGACACCCCGCCCCGGCCCAGCCTCCCGCTGAGAAATGCTCCCTGACACCCACAGGGCGTGTTTTCAGTGGCGAGAGGGAGCGCGAGAGCCAGCTGCCCTTTAGTCCTGGATGAAATCATGTGTTTTTGCGAAGTGGAGACAGTGAGAGTCGCTGCGGCCCAGAGCGTACAGAGTCCCCCTGAGCCCGGGCCAAGGCTGAGCCACACAGGGGGCACTTTGTGGAACCCCTCAAGGGGGAGGGCCACCTCCTGGGCGGGGCCACTCCTGAGTCTGGCTCCTGGGCAGCCCGCCCTGGTGTGCAGTGGCTCTGTGAGCGACTGCCCTGCACAGCTCTGCCCAGCGCTCAGCAGGGCGAGCTCCTCACTTGTTCTACCATGGAGGGTCTGGGGAGACCCCCGACACATGCCCAAGATTTCCAGAACATTCCAGAAGGATTCTTCATCTTGGTGAAGGGCCGCATGCCTTCAGATCAGGAGAGTGGGGGGCAGGGAGACCAACCAAGAGGGCCGCTGGGGAGGGAACACGAACACCTCACATCCCCCCGCCCCCCCGCCAGGGCCCCGTGGTCGGAGAGGACGATTCTGAGCACTGGGCTGGGGCGTGGGCATGAGAGCGTCCCCAAGTGACCGTGACCCTCACGAGTCTGCCCCACCGCCAGGGGCAAGGGCCAGGTGCTTCCTGTTCTAAGTCACTCGATGTCGCATTGTTCTCTGCAGGATTTGTGCCAGAAGAATCCAGCACGCAGCCCCCGGAGCCAGCAGCCCAGGGGGACCCCAGTAAGTCAGCGGACAGCCCCCGCCCTCCACCTCCCCCTCCCTCCCCCTCTGCCCCGCCCACAGCCTCACTGGCCCCTCTCGAAGGCAGCTCTGGAGGGCCGCACCCCTGTGTGTGATAGGAGGGGCTCTGGGCTGCATCACTCTGGCAACAGGCTCCCAGGGTGCAGGGTGGGGAAGAGGCAGGCTGAGTTGGCCCCCAGAGATGGGGGGAGGACCGGGGGCCCAGGTAAAGGTGGGGCCTGCTGGCTCTTAACCCCCCCCCCCCCAAGCAGCTGCAGGCGGACATCATCAGCAGGGCACAGCCCAGCTGGGTCCAGGACCAGCCTGGGACCAGCAGGGCAACGCCCGCTGTGGCCCTGCCAGCCCTGCGCGACACTCCCCGGATTTGAGGGGCTCCCCTGCCTCGGGCAGGGGCTTTCTCGATGGGGGCTGCAGGGGCCATGCTGCCCTGACCCCGAGTTCGAGTTCGGGTCCCTGATCTCCAGGCCCCCCGGGGAAAGCACCCATGGAGGAGGAGATCTGCAGAGGCAGGCGGCCCCCGGCTCGGACCCGGACCCCCGTCAGGCCAGGTCCGGCAAAGGCAGAGCCAGGAGGACCCTGGGGCCCTCCCAAGGCAGGAGCGAAGCCAAGCCCGGCATCAGGATGAGCACGCCCAGCCCAGGCCCGTGTGCTCAGGCTCTGAGAGAGGGAGATGCGTTTGTCTCCGAGGACCCGAAGCGGGTCGCCAGGGGTCCGCACTGTGCTGGTCTGGTCTGGGGCCCCACCTGGCTGTGCTCGGCTTCTTCCTGCCGACCCTGCGCCCGGGGGCACCGCTGGCATCATCTATGGAACATGGGAGCACTGCGGGCATCATCCAGGGTACCCGAGAGCACTGCTAGCATTATTCATGGTACCTGGGAGCACTGCTAATACCATCCCGTGGGGCCTGGGAGCACTGCTGCATCATCCTTGGTACCTGGGAGCACTGCTGGCCCCACCCACAGCGCCTGGGTAGAGCCCTGGCTGACAGCATGCGAGGCACACGCCCTTCCCACTGGACCTTGACTCGGGCCCTTGGGCTTTAATAGTTTCTTTGTCTCATCTTGTTTTGCTTTTTGGGTCACACCCCTCGGCGTTGCTCCAAGGTTTATCCTGGCTCTGCACTCAGGAATGACTCCTGGCAGTGCTCGGGGGACCCTATGGGATGCCGGGGATCGAACCCAGGTCAGCCGCGTGCAAGGCAAACACCCTCCCCGCTGTGCTGTCGCTCCAGCCCTAGTAGTTTATAAAGAGGATTGATTTCCCCCTTGGACCCTGCTGTGCCAGTTATCAAATTTAAAAAAAATGTTTTGTAAAGACATATTGAATCAGCCGCTGATCTCTGGAAGGAAATGCGCTCTGCAGAAAGGGTTCTCGAACTTTCACAGGCACGGGCCCCCTGGGAAGCGTCCCTCAGGTGCGGTGCGTGGGAGCAGAGCCGGCAAATCTCAATTCCAGCGGATCCCCAGTGCCGGCCCTGAAGAACACCACTGCCACCTGCTGGCCACACTCCACATTGCAGCCCCGGTCCTTATATTTATTTTTTCTCTTTTAAATAGTTTACTTTTTTTAATTTAAAAAAATTTTTTTTTACTAGTGAAACACCATGAGGTACAGTTATAGACTTACAATTTTTTTGCTTTTTGGGTCACTCCCGGCGATGCACAAGGGTTTTTCCTGGCTCATGCACTCAGAAATTACTCCTGGCGGTGCTCGGGGGACCATATGGGATGCTGGGAATCGAACCCGGGTCGGCTGCATGCAAGGCAAACACCGTACCCGCTGTGCTATCACTCCAGCCCCTAGACTTACAAATTTTTCTGCTTGGGTTTCAGTTATACAACGATCAAGTACCCATCCCTCCACCAGCGCCCATCCTCCACCACCACGGGTCCCAGCATCCCTCCCACCCCCCATCCCCCTCATCCCACCCTGCCTCTGTGGCAGGGCATTCCGCCTTGTTCATCCCTGGACGTCCCCGACTGTAGTTCCCAATCCTCAGCTCCAGGCGCAGACCTGACCAGGAAATTCTGGAGGCTGCCAAAGTGGGGAGACCAGTTGGACAAGACGAGGGACTCGGCACAGAATGTCCACCCAGACAGGAAGGGAAAGAGTCGCCAGATTCATGAATGGTCTGAGTCACAAACCAGCCCCCTACTTTCAAATGCAAAGGACGCCACCAGCCTTGGCCAGGGGGACGTCCCTGGCGTCACCTCCTTCTCCCCTGTTGCACCCTCTCTTGCGAGATTATTCGGCATGCCAGAGAAAGCTCTAGGTCTCTCCTGAACCTTCCAACTCCCAGCGTCACACTCAGCATTCTCCTGCTTAAAACTGCCAATTCAAACCTACTTTTTTTTTTTTTGCTTTTTGGGTCATACCCGGCGATGCACAGGGGTTCCCCCTGGCTCTGCGCTCAGGAATTACCCCTGGCGGTGCTCAGGGGACCCTATGGGATGCTGGGAATCGAACCCGGGTCGGCCGCGTGCAAGGCAAACGCCCTCCCCGCTGTGCTATTGCTCCAGCCACCCTCAAGCCTACTTCTTGAGTTCATTAAAAAGGGAAAATTTTTTCTTTCCCTGCCTGTGCCACTTCCCTGGGGAGGAAAACACCTCCAGCACGCAGGGAAAACGCAGCGCACCTTGCAGAGGAGAGACGCGCTTTCTCCTCCATGCAGAAAGAAAAGGAGTCGGGGGTGGGTGGGCTGAGGGTCCTGGGGTGACCTTTCTCGTCGGGAAGTGAGGCTGCCCATAGCAGTTCCCACAGTCCCAGCCTGCCTGGTCTTCTGCACTCTCTCACGTCTTGGCCCAGAGTCAGCCCTTCTGTGGGGGGTGACACCCCGGGGAGCACAGGTCCCATTCCTAGCTCTGTGCCCAGGGATCACTCCTGGAGGTGCTTGGGGGATTATACACAAGGCTGGGGACCAAAACCCGGTTGGCTGCCTGCGAACCACGCACCCGAAGCCCTGCACTTTCCCTCTGCAAATGCCAGTGATGCCAAGGCATAATTCTGAACCCAAGTGAGAGGGTCCGAGACCCGTCTGGGCAGGCTGCTCCTTGGGGAGCGGCTCTGAGCCCGGGAGGCCATTCTGAAAGCTTCCCACACCTCGCTGTGTCTGCCCTTACGCCCGAAGAGTCCCAAACAGTTGTGCCCTGACCTGGCATCGGTGAGGACTGGTACTGGGTGCCAGGGGGCCTGGGCCTAGCCTCTGGGCTGCTTTTTTGGCTTCATCTCCTCTGGGGCCTTCAGGGGCTCTGCAAAAAAAAGAATAAGGCGAGGAGCAGAGACTTCTCAGGAAAGCAGCGAGTCACCGAGACCCCTTTCCGGTCCCCAGGCTGCAAAGTGGACCTGGCGTTTCTCATTGACGGGAGCTCGAGTCTCGGCAAACGCCGCTTCCGCATCCAGAAACAGTTCCTGGCCGAGATGGCCCAAGTGCTTGACATCGGCCCCGCCGGCCCGCTGATGGGGGTCGTGCAGTACGGGTGAGTGCAGCTCTGGTCCAGAAACCCAGCACCCCGGGGCCGGGAGCAGCCAGAGGCGAGTATTGGCCAGGTCAGGTGTGAAGCCAGACTCGGGGCTGCCCACGCCCATCAGGAGCAAGTTCCATGCATGGTGGGAGAGAAAGCCCGTGACGGCGTGAGGAGAGCCGTGCACGCGTCTCACTTCAGCGCCGGGCAGGCTGGGGCCTGGCCTCCCGCTTCCTGCCCACGGGGAGAGATGGGGCCTTCGTGGCACCTTCAGCCGGGCTCCCCACGCTCCCGGTGCCTCTCACTGGAGAATTTCCTGCCTGTGCTCCCGGCTTTTGGCTCCTTTGCCATCCAGCTGGGACGGTGACGGTGGGGGTTCACCTCTGGGCTCTCGCCTGCCCTCGATGCGTGCCTCCTCGGACGGCCCCCTGCTGTTTGATTCTGATCACTGTAAAACCCGTCAAAGTTGGCAGCCCAGTCGCCCTCTGGGACTTAGGGTCTCCTCCTCACGACTCTTTCGGTTGTTTGGGGTCTTCTGTTATTCCGAGTATATACCCTACACCTGGGCAACTGTTGTTTTTTGTTTGGGGAACCAGGAACCACACCTGAGTTGGCCGTGTGCAAGGCAGGCGCCCGCCCTGCGGTCCCATCACTGGTAGCTCCGAGGTATCACTCTTGTGCCACTTACTTTCAACCTCTCTGCTCCTGCAGAGGGGACAGGGCTTCGCCAGTGATGGGCTCTGGACACGGTCACTGAGAGCACCAGGCAGCTGGCTTGCCTCGGGTTCTGGGAGTCGTGTGAGCACTGGAGTCCAGCGGTCTCCGTCCTACAAGGCTGCGGGGGTGCCTCCTGCCGGTCCGAGGCTCTGTGGCGGTGGCTCAGTTACATCCTAACTGAACAGGCGGCGGTGGGCTCGGTGGGCCGGCGGTAATCTCCGGGGCTTTGCAGGATCCGGAGCTGGTTGGACGGCGCGGTCCTCACGTGGGCCCCGTGCCACGCGGGTGCCCTGGTGAGCCCCCCTGGGCTCAGCACTCTGAGGGTGCGGGGCTTCTCTGCTCCAGCCGCTCAGCCCACGGGGCTCCAAGTCAGAGAGTCCCTTCCACAGAGCTTCAAGGGGTGGGCGGCAGGGGGAGGGGAGCGCCGAGGGGGCGGGGCGTGTCCTGGGCTGGCTCAGAGCACCTGGGCGGGCCCTGCACCCCGCACCCACCCTGGCCCCAAGGCGCCCACCTCCCTCTCGCCCTCCCCGTGTGCAGGGACACCCCCGCCCTCCAGTTCAACCTCAAGGCTCACGCCAGCCCCCGGGACGTGCGCGCGGCCCTGGAGAAGATGACGCCCCGCGGTGGCCTGGCCAACGCAGGTGAGCGGGCAGGGCGGGCGTGCGGGGCGGGGCCTGGGGCGCCTCCCGCACGCGGCATCCTGGCTAGGGGATCGGCCCCGACCCCCCCAACCCCCAACCCCCGCAAGCCCAGGATCTCGCTGATTCCCGCCGCATCCTGCAGGAAACTCCCCTGGCCCCGCCCTGCCCAGCCCTTGACGGGGACGCCCCGACGTGGGTGCTCGCGCCCGGCCCACTGCCCTGGCACGGCTCAGGGGCGGCTGGTTGTGCTTATTTGGGGGAGGGGCCGGGTTTCACCCCAGTTCGAGATCTGGCCCTCACCTGGGCAAGTCCAGACATCCACTCTGTGGGGGCCCAGAAGTGACCAGGCCCCAGGCAGTTTCCCTCTCAAAGGCTGCCGGTGAGGTGGGCTCGCCACTGGGCCGTGGGGTCTGGCCCGCGGAGCTGATGTCCCTTCTCAGAATCCTGCCTGCAGGGTCCAGGGAGGTCGAGCCCAGTGCCCCTATAACCCGGCTGGGCCCGGGGTTCAGTATAGCCCCGACCCACTTCCGAACGGGCCACCCTAGAAAGCGGGTTGACCCAGCAGACACCCAACCTTCAACCTTGGGGCGCTGCAGGATAAGCAAACAGTGGCCACGTGCCAGCCGGACCCTGCCTCAGTGTGACCACAACGCGAACACCAGAGGGTGATGCCCGTGACCCCAAGGTGTCCCCTGGAGCAAACCTTCAGATGCTCAGTGTCCTTGCAGGGACCAGCGCGGTCCAGAAACACCCCTACTCGGGCTGGGCTCCGAGGAACCAACTCCAGGGCAGCGGGAGCCCATGTGCGGGAAGGCGGGCCGGGGCGGGACCCTCCACTCTCTGCAGAATCCGCAGGGTCGCTGCTCCACCCGCCCCCTGCCCGCAGGCCGCGCCCTCTCCTTCACGGCCCAAAGCTTCTTCTCCAAAGCCAACGGGAACCGGATCGGCACCCCCAACGTGGCCGTGGTGCTGGTGGACGGCTGGCCTTCGGACCGCGTGGAGGATGCGGCCAGGCGGGCGCGCGAGGCGGGCATCAACGTCTTCGTCCTCACGGTCGAGGGGCCGCTGGACAGCGAGCGCGAGCTGGTGCTCGAGCCGGACTTCGCGCACAAGGTAGGTGGCACCGGGGCCGGCGGGGGCGGGTGGACACGGGGCCCCGTCCAAGGGAGGGCCCTTCCCCCCTCCCCTCCCCCAGACTCCCGCTGCCCCTCGCCCGCCTGCCTGGCTCCTGCACCCCCACCCCAACGAAACCCCCACCAGGGCCCAGCGTTCCAGCCGGCAAGTCTGGGAGGCGGGGTGGGGGGCCCAGCTCAACCTCCAGGCGGCCCCTCCACGGAAAGTTCTGGAACACACACCCCACCTCCAACCTCCCCCCCCCATACACACACACACACCCTCATTCATTCACATTTTTCAAACCCCATTAAGAAATATCTCTTGGAATTTTTCTCTTTCTTTTTGGCTGGGGTGGGCTGGAGTCACAGCCAGCATTGCTCAGGCCTTCCTCCTGGCGAGGCCCGGGGGAGCATGTGGGGTGCCAGGGATCGAACCCGGGGCCACCGCGTTCAAGACCAGCGCCCACCCCGATGCACGGGCCCTCGTGGTGCCCCCACGCACTGCCACCTGGGCGCCCGCAGGCTGCTGTTGGGTGAGACCCCAGGCGCCGGCTCGGGGTTTCCAAGGCCTGGGGGTCTCTGGCTGCGGCCTCTGGGCCTCTGTCCACTCTTTCCTGGCTGGGCTAGACCCGCCCTGTGAGTCTACGGGGGCAAAAAGCTCGGCGAGAGCCCGCCCCGTCCCGCGCGCACCCGGGGACTGCTGGGAGCGCGCGCGTCCTCCGCGTCCTCAGCGCATCACCCTGTTTCTCAGCCAGAGCCCATGCTTTCGCCCACCCTCCCGTGCGGACACCCGCCTCCGGGCCGCCCTCACCCCCCAGGGCCAAGATCAGGAGGTCCGGTCCGGGCCGGTCCGGGGCGGGGCGTCCAAAGGGGCATCCCAGGCGAGCGGGTCCCGGGCGGCTGCGGGGCGCCCCGGAGAGGCAGCGCTGGGGAGCCCCCGGCCCGCGCCCGCGCGCCCGCCTGAGCCCGCACCCCGCGCCCCGCAGGCCGCCTGCAGGTCCAGCGGCTTCTACGCGCTGCCCGTGGCCAGCTGGGGCGCGCTGGGCAGGAGCCTGCGGCCGCTGGCCCGGCGCGTGTGCGACGCGGAGCGCCTGGTGTGCAGCCGCACCTGCCTGAACTCGGCCGACGTGGGCTTCGTGCTGGACGGCTCCAGCAGCGTGGGCCCGGGCAACTTCCGCACGCTGCTGCGCTTCGCCGCCAACGTCAGCCAGGCCTTCCGCATCGCGGCGTCGGCCACGCGCGTGGGCGCCGTCCAGTACACCTACGAGCAGCGCCTGGAGTTCGGGCTGGACGCGCACCGCTCCAAGGCGGCCGTGCTGCGCGCGCTCGCGGGCCTGGGCTACTGGAGCGGCGGCACCAGCACGGGCGCCGCCATCCGCTTCGCGCTGCAGCGGCTCTTCCACGAGCCCAGGCCCGGCCGGCGGCGCCTCATGGTCCTGGTCACCGACGGCCGCTCCTACGACGACGTCCGCGCGCCCGCCCTGGCCGCGCACCGCAAGGGTGAGCGCGCGCGCGGGGCCGCGGAGGCGCGGGGGCCGGGGGTGGGGCGGGAGCGGGCCCTCTCCCGCCCGGGGGGCCGCGCCCGGGGCCGGGGTTCACGCGGCCAGAGGCTTTGGGGAGTCTCGGGAAACTGAGGCGCGAGCGAGGTCCGTCCCCGCCGCCGCCGGAGAACCGGGCGCGGCGCCTCGGGGAGCCCCCGACGGCCAGCGAAGTGTGCCAGGGATCACCCGCCAGAGGCCGGACCCGCAGGGCTGCGAGGAGTTTCAGGGTCCCCCGAGCCAGGAGAGAGGACCGGGGTGCCGGTGCTCGTCTTGCTGGTGCCAGAACCCAAGTTTGGTCCCCAGCGGGGCGTATGGTTCAAGCACTGCCAGGAGTGAGCCCTGAGCGCTGAGCCAGGAGCCAGCCCTGAGCACAAAATCTGCAGTCAGTAGTCTTCCCTGAGCACAGAGCCAGGAGTCATCCCTGAGCATAGAGTCTGGAGGCAGCTCTGAGCATAGAGCTGCTGGGAGTCAGTCCTGAGCACAGAGCCAGGAGTCAGCCCTGATGGCACAGAGTTGTGAGTGAGCCCTGAGCACAGAGCCAGGAGTCAGCCCTGACCACAGAGCCAGGAGCCAGCCCTGAGCACAGAGCCAGGAGTCATCCCTGAGCATAGAGTCTGGAGGCAGCTCTGAGCACAGAGCTGGGAGTCAATCCTGAACACAGAGCCAGGAGTCAGCCCAGAGCACAGCGCCGGGAGTCAGCCCTGAGCACGGAGCCAGGAGTCAGGCCCCGCCCTGCTGTGTCCCTCAGGGATCATCGTCTACGCGGTGGGCGTGGCCTGGGCGGCGCGGGAGGAGCTGGACATTATCGCCTCGCACCCGGCCCGGGACCACGCGTTCTTCGTGGAGGAGTTCGACCACCTGCACACGCTCGTGCCCCAGATCCTGCACAACATCTGCGCCGAGTTCAACGCGCACCCGCAGGACTGAGCGCGGCGGCGGCCCTGGACTCGGACAGCCGTGGGCTGCCCACCCGAACCCTGCACCCCCGAATTCAGTGCCCAGCCCCGCCCCCAGCGCCTGTCCTGGGCGACCCCCGGGCCGCTGGCAGGGACCCCCTCGGGCCCACTGGCCCCGCCCCGCCCCCTGTCCCGCCGCTGGTTCTGGACCCCGAGACCACCTGGGACCCGGGCCTGGCACCGAGGCCTCCATGGGCACAGCGCGGGCGCTCCCCTGCCGCCTCCCTGGGCCGGGCCATCCCCCGTGCCCACCCTCATGGCTGCTGCCGCTACTCTGTCTTCACTCGTTTCATCTCCGCTCTGATCTTTTTGTCTTTTCAGCCCCCAAAAATTGTTTTCCTTGTCGGTCTTGCAGACTTTCCACGCGTACCTTTCTTGTTCCTTTTGTTTGACTTGCTCTGACCTACGTTTCCTGTGTCCGTGGTGATGGCCGGAGAGGTTGGGGGTCCGCTCGCATCTGACTGTGCTGCGTCACACACATCTTGTGGGTTTGTTTCTTCCGGGGTTGGGGCCACACCCAGCGGTGCTCAGAGCTAACTCCCGGCTCAGTGCTCAGCGCTCACTCCCGCTGGGCTCAGGGAACCTTTTGGGGGATCGAGCTGGGGTTGGCCGCGCAAGGCCAGCTCCTTACTCCTGGGCGGGCTCTCTGGACTCAGAGCTTCTTCTTAATATCAGAGCTCTTGGTTCTCCTTTAAATTGTCTTCACTTGCACGCTACGAATTTGGGTATATTGTGTTTTCCTTTATTTCCAAATCCCTCCTCCGCAATATTCAAAGACTTTCTAAAGGGCATATTTAAGTTCACAACCGATCAGAGCAGAAATGAAAGTTACTGGGGCCAGAGAGATGCCATAGGGAGTAAGGCACTTGCTCTGCACATGGTTGGCCCTGAGCACAGAGTCAGAAGTCAGCACTGAGCACAGAGCCAGGAGTCAGCACTAAGTACAGAGCCAGAGGTCAGCCTTGAGCACAGAGCCAGGAGTCAGCCCTGAGCACAGAGCCGGGAGTCAGCCCTGAGCACAGAGCCGGGAGTCAGCCCTGAACACAGAGCCGGGAGTCAGCCCTGAGCACAGAGCCGGGAGTCAGCCCTGAGCACAGAGCCAGGAGTCAGTCCTGAGCGCCTGAACTCCAAAACAAAAGACGTGGGCACTCCAGCTGAGATATCTCTGGCCCTCCCAGGCGCCACCTGCCGGTCCGAGTGGGGCGGGATTCCCAGACGCGTCTCCCACGGAACCTCCTAGCTCACACCGGCGCCTCTTGTGTGGATTCTGTGGATTCTTTGTTGTTGCTGCTTTGGGCCCACCCTGGTGCTGCTCGGGGCTCCCTCCTGGCGGGGCACAAGGGACCACTCCCGGGATGCCGAGGATCGAACCTGGGCCAGCCGCGTGCCAGGCAAACGCCCTCCCCGCCGTCCTTACGTGGCTGCCGTGGCGGGGCCAGGCCTCTGACGTCACGGCGCTCGCGGTCCCCCGGCGCTGCCTGCTCCTCTCCTTCTGCGCCAGTTTCCGGAGCCTCTGATGTGCGGCTGTTTCCAGTCTCCCCTTGCCCAGTATCACGTGGTCCGAATCCCGCCGCCGACACCCACGCTCGCGAACTCCTTCCACCTTCGACACGCACTGCGGGCCGCCCTGGAGTGGCTCAGCGCGCGCCTCTCGGGGCTGCGCAGGCCCCGGGTGGGAGGCACCCGTGGGTTACTGGCCCCGGCCCCTCCGTGCGGTGATGCCAGGCCTGGCGATCGTGACTAGAGCTCCCCCAGATACCCTCGTGTGGCTTTCCGTGTGGGTCTCGGCCTCCAGCCTGGCTGGTCCATTCCGAGGGCCACGACTCTGAGGCAGGGATGTTCAGTTTGGTAGGAAACCGCCGAATCAGCATCCGAAGCGTCAGGGCTGTTCACTCCAAGGAGCCCCGGACCCATGGGTGCCCTAGGGCTCCATCCCAACCTCTCAAATGTATAATCTTCCTATGGCTGGAGCGATAGCACGGCGGGTAGGGCGTTTTTGCCTTGCATGCGGTCGATCCCTCCGACCCTCTCGGAGAACCTGGCAAGCTTCCAAGAACATCCTGCCTGCACGGCAGAGCCTGGCAAGCTCCCCGTGGCGTATTCGAGATGCCAGACACAGTAACAAGTCTCACGATGGAGATGTTACTGGTGCCCACTTGAGCAAATCGATGAACAGTGGGACGACAGGGCTACAGACTTTTCCTTGGGCCCCTTAATTTTTTTTTAGTGTGCTCATTTATAAACCCTAGGGGGTGGCGGGGGGGTGGGGCGTTCCAGGCATTTTTCTCTTACTGGCTTCTCACTCAAATTCACCGTGGTTGGTGACCGTAGTCTGAGTAGAGCCTTTCACGGAGTCTGAGATAGGTTTCATGGTCCAGGTTATGTTCTACCCTGGTGCATGTTCTTGGCACCGAAGCAAAGGTGACCGCTGACCGCAGCTGTAGCTGACGGGGTACGCGCCATTTGGAATCGGGTCAAGGTAATTGGTCAAGTTACCCCGGCCTTCTTTGACTTACTTTCTGTTGGTTATTCCTAGAAAATTCTCTTTTTTTTTTGTTTTTGGACCACACCCGGCAATGCTCAGGAGTTTCTCCTAGTTCTGAACTCAGGAATTACTCCTGGTGGTGTTTGGAAGACCATATGGGATGGTCTTTGGATCGAACCCCGGGCCAACCTTATACAGGCAAGCGCCCTGCCTGTTACACTATTGCTCTGGTCCTTATCTCTGGAAAATTGTAATTGTAGATTCACCCGTTTCTCCAAATGATGCTTTTGCTCCATTTATCTCGAAGCTGTTAGAGTTTAGCTTTTAGGCCTGTTACATCCTGCCGATAAATTTGAACTTTGAATCCCAAAGTGAATTTCTTTACCCTTGATCACTTGATCACTTGGCATCCCATTACTCATCGATTTGCTGGAGCGGGCGCCAGTAACGTCTCCATTTGTCCCTGTCGCGTGCTAGTGTAGCCCAATGGCATCTCTTCGCTCCGGGAACATGAAGGGCCTCAAACCGATCGTTCATGATCTTGACGAAGAAGTCTGACCATCTGGTAGGTGGGCAGCCACGCGGTCTTTTGACGTCCCGTGGAATCCAGTCGGTAACGGCTCTAGTCCAGCGGTCATCTCCAAATCCCATTACGTGTCCAGCCCATCTGATTCTCGATGCCCTGGCAAACGAGACAGCGTCCCTGATTCTTGATCGGTAATTACAATGGGTCTCTCTTGACCCTATCTCCGGTAATATTTTTCCCCTCCAAAAGCTGTTTTGTATATAAGTCCTCGAGACCTTCTGGCCTGTCTTTTCTGTGCTTTTGCTTTTAACCTGTCGAAGCAGTTCGCTCGGCAGAGCTGGTCTCCCACTGTCCCCCTCGCTCTCCCACGCTCAGCCTGACGCTGCTCTCCTGGAAGTCACAGTGTCTTTAGATCACTCACATTGACTGTGATTCTGGGTGGGCTTAAACCCATCATCTGGATGATGGTTTCGTACGGGTCAGGACTGAGCTTTGTGCTTTTACTCGGTCTCCTGTATCAGCTTTGAACTGTGCATTTTCTTTCCTTTTTTAAAAAATCTTTTATTTCATTTTATTATATTTGGGCTGGAGCGATAGCACAGCGGGTTGGGCATTTGCCTTGCACGCAGCTGACCTGGCCACCCCGGGTTTGATTCCTCCACCCCTCTCGGAGAGCCCGGAAAGCTATTGAGAGTATCTCACCCACATGGCAAAGCTGGCAAACTCCCCGTGATGTATCCGATATGCCAGACACAGTAACAATGCGTCTCACAATGGAGACGTTACTGGACCCGCTCGAACAAATCGATGAACAATGAGAGGACAGTGGACAGTGGATTTTACTTTATATATATTTTTGCTTTTGGGGTCACACCCCGCGATGCTCAGGGGTTACTCCTGGCTCTGCACTCAGGAATTACTCCTGGCGGTGCTCGGGGAACCATATGCGAGGCTGGGAATTGAACCCGGGTCAGCCGCGTGCAAGGCAAATGCCCTCCCCGCTGTGCTATGGCTCCAGCCCTGAGCCGTGTGTTTTCCCAGGTTCCCAGGGTACAGCAGACCCTTCATACGTGGCCTCTGCACCTGCAACAGCATCTAACAGTACCCGAAGTGTACTCCGCCTGCCCTCTCCCCACCTTGTTGCTGTGCTCAGACGTTTGCCTTTGTGTTTCGTAACGACATTAGGATGTGTCCCAACAGTGCTCAGGCCCTGCTCCTGACCCTGCACTCTGGGATCACTGCGGGCGGTGCCCGGGGGACCCTATGGGATGCTGGGGATCGAACCTGGGTTGGCCGCCCTCCCCGCTGGTCTATCCCTCGACTCCTGGGACTTTTAAGTTTTGGATTATCCCAGAGGGATTTTCAAAGGCGTGACTCTCTTTCCTCGCCTCCATGGTGGATTCCGGGTGGAGCCAGGCACCCTCGTGGCTTGGCGTGACTCTGCGGGATGTTGGGAGGTTGAGGGAAGGTCAGTGAACGGGGCGTGGATCCGGGCCTTCCCTCTTTTTCCTGCATTACAGTGACTCTCCCGCTGTCCCCTGATGCTGGGATACCAGTGTGACCTGCAAATGCCAGGCGGCACCTTGTGAATGCTAACCCAGGTGACTCTCTCCATGTCTGTTGGTTAGGGGAGGCCTACCAAGCAGTGCTCAGGGGGCTGGGAGCACTCTCCCCCCCCCAGCAATTCTCAGCCATCAGGGCCGGCGGTTCAATGCTGGGCTCTGAGGATGCAGTGCCCACCCCCCAGTCACCCTGGCGGCGTGTAGGGGGCTCAGGGGACCCTATGGGCTGACAGGTTCAAATTCAGGTCAGCCTCATGCAAGGCAAGCATCCGAGGCTGCCATCTCCCCAGCCCTGGTCTGGAATTGTTTGGTCATTGCTTTTTTGAGTCACATCCAGCGATGCTCAGGGCTTCCTCCTGGCTCTGCACTCAGGAATTACTCCTGGCGGTGCTCGTGGACCCTGTGG